TCGTGTAAAGGCGCCTCTGTGCAAAGACTTCTCTGTGTAAAAGCTTTTGTGTGTAAGAGTTTCTGTGTGTAAAAACCACTTTGTGTAAAGACTTTTTTGTGTAAAAGCTTCTCTGTGTGAAAGCACGTCTTTGTAAAGATTTCTCTGTGTGTAAAAGCTTCCGTGTATAAAAACTCTCTGTGTAAAGGCTACTTCTCTGTGTAAAAGTTTCTGTGTGTAAACGCGTCTGTGTGTTAAAGCTCTCTGTGTAAAGACTTCTTTGTGTAACAGCTTTTGTGTGTAAAAGCTCCAAGACGTTTGTGTGAAAAAGCTCCTCAGAGGAAAGACTTCTCTGTGTAGAACCTTCTGTGTGTAAAAAGCTACTCTGTGTAAATGTGTAAAAGCCCCTGCGTGTGTAAAAGCTTGCTGTGTGTAAACGCTTTGGTGTGTAAACGCTCCTCTGTGTAAAGGCTTCTCTGTGTAAAAGCTTCTGTGTGCAAACGCGTCTGTGTGTAAAAAGTCCTCTGTGTAAAGACTTCTTCGTGTAAAAACTTCTGTGAGTAAAAGCTCCTAGACGTTGGTCTGCAAAAGCACCTTAGGGTAAAGACTTCTCTGTGTAAAACCTTCTGTATGTAAAAAGCTCCTTTGTAAAGACTTCTCTGTGTAAAAGCCCCTGTGTGTGTGGGTAAAAGCTTCTGTGCGTCTCCTCCCTCCAGCTTTCTTTCGGGTCACGCTGTCGTCCAGTTTCAATCTGCAACGCTGTTTCTTGTGGAAGAGTGCAAAATAATGCAAAGAACATGTGAAAGCATCGCGTGTTTACAAATTGAACATAAACAGCGCACAAAGTGCTGTAATTTACAGCATATTGCGCTGTCAGCTGGCAAGAACCCGCGTAAATACTACAGTTTTAGTCCCCGAAAGTGGCTAAAACACTGTTATTTGCAGGGTTTCGTTCACGCCACGATCTTCGATTTTTTGAAAAACGCGTAAATACCAGCGTTTTTTGCGTTCATCAAGGCAAAAAATCGGTTCAAAAAGTGCAAAAAATGCTGTAATTTACAGGGGTTTGGCACCGTCACGGGCAAAAAACTGTGTAAATACAAGCGTTTCAGCGTCCAAAAGTGGCTAAAACACTGCTATTTACAGTGTTTCGTGCCTTCCACGTTTTCTTGAAATTGCAAAAACAGTGTAAATACCAGCATTTTTTGCGATCAACTTGCCAAAAATGCTGTAATTTACAGTGTTTTTTTTGCTTGGCTTTCAAAAACACTGGTATTTGCGGTGTTTTGTGCATCTCCGGTCTAAAAAGTATTGGTATTTACAGCATTTTCTGCTTTTTTTCATTGCTCCCGCGAAAGACGTCAAAACGCAAAAATACTGTAATTTACAGCATTTTGTGACTTTCGAAAAGCGAAAAATCGTCCGAAAAATGTGTCAAAACGGCGCTTTTTTCCGATTTTAGGTACCCTCAAAACGGGGGGGGGAATGCTCTTGGAGACGCTTATGAGCGACCCGGATCCCGGCCAAAAAGCTCTCCCCCACCCTCCTGAAGGATTTTTGGTGTTTTTCGGGGCCCGGCGTCGGAGGGTCGGCGGTTGGGGGCGCGCCTCACCTTAGAGCTCTAGTCCGGCCAGGGGCCCCCTGGCCGTGTCCTTGCCGTACGGCAGTTCTCTCCTCTCCGTAGGAGAGAGGGGCCGCCGCCCCTGCCGCCGACCACCCGGTCCGGCCAAAAACCCCCGCGTTTTACGGTGTTTTGTGCTCTTCCCACTTTTTCCCATTTTTCGGATCTTGTGGTTTAAGATGGGTCAACATGGGCCAACATAGGCCTCAAGATGGGCCAACATAGCCCCAAGATGGGCCAACATAGTAGCAAGATGGGTCAACATGGGCCAACATAGGCCTCAAGATGGGCCCACATAGGCCTCAAGATGGGCCAAAATAGCCCCAAGATGGGCCAACATAGCCCCAAGATGGGCCAACATAGCTCTAAGATGGGCCAACATAGCCCCAAGATGGCCCAACATAGCCCGAAGCCGGGCCAAGATAGGGCTACATAGCCCGCAAGGTGGGCCCGACCGACCCCAACCCACCAACCCCAAACCCACAAGCACAAACCACCACTGATCAACCCCAACCCACCAACCCCAAACCCACAAGCACAAACCACGACCGACCAACCCCGACCGCCCAACCTCAAACCCAAACGCACAAACCACCACTGACCAACTCCAACCTACGACCCCCACGACTTTCCGGCACAAACCACGCCCGACCAATCCCAACCCACCAACCCCAAACCCAAAATCGCCAACCACCACTGCCGAACCCCAACCCACTAACCCCAAACCCTAACGCACACACCCCGACCGACCAACCCCAAACGTTTGCACACCAACCCCAACCCACCAACCCCAAACCCAAACGCACAAACCACGACCGACCAACCCCAACCCACCAACCTCAAAGCACAAACCACCACCGACCGACCCCAACCCACCAATGCCATACCTGCATGCACAAACCACGACCGACGAACCCCAACCCACCAACCCCAAACCCTCACACACCAACCCCGACCGACCAACCGACCAACCCCAACCCACCAACCCCAAAGCACAAACCACCACTGACCTACCCCAACCCACCAACCCCTAACCTTCCAGCACAAACGCCGCCCGACCCACCCCAACCCACCAACCCCAAACCCACACGCACACACCACCACTGCCCAACCCCAACCCACCAATGCCATACCTGCAAGCACAAACCACGCCCGACCAACCCCAACTCACCAACCTCAAAGCACAACCCACCACTGACCGACCCCAAACGAACACGTTGTCCTCCACGGGCTGTGGCGTACCCCGAACCCACACGTGCCAACCACAACAACTACAACCACAACAACAACAACAACAACAACAGCAACAGCAACAGCAGCAACAGCAACAGCAACAGCAACAGCAACAACCACCACAACAACAACAACAACCACAATAACACCACCACCACCAACAACAACAACAACAACCACAACAACAACAACAACAACAACAACAACAACAACAACAACAACAACAACAACAACAACAACAACAGCACCACCACCACCACCAGCACCAGCACCAGCACCACCACCACCACCACCACCAGCAACAACAACAACAACAACAACCACAACAACAACAACCACAACAACAACCACAACAACCCCAACAACAACGACAACAACAACAACAACAGCAACAACAACAGCAACAACAACCACAACAACAACAACAACAACAACAACCACAACAACCACAACAACCGCACTAACCAGTCTTGGTCCCTGCAAGAACCACTACACCTACGTCCGCCGCCACGGCCCCCATGGTTGGGCCCCTGGCCGGCTGTTGCGCGTAAGCGCTTAAATCGCTCTGGGACGCTCGTAGGGCAAGCCACTCGTGGGGAGCCGGCGGAGCCGAATTTCTGAAGCAGGTCCTCATTCAGTAACTTTCACGCCCACA